CTTTTATTATAACCATCATGAAGATTCCAAGCCAAATATAGAAGATTTGTGGGAAGCTCTTTTTGTGAAAAACCTGAGATACTAGATAGTTTACCAAAAGCAATCTCTTTAAAATTGTTTATTATAATATATGCTATAAGAATCCTGCATGGAACTCAAAACAAGTTTGCATTACTCAACTAGTTAAACAATGAAATTGCACCTCCAACTTTGCTACTCATATAGTTGGTATTATCTAAAATATATACAGAGCATTGTTAAAAGTTTAATTTAAAATTATTAAATGTATCAAATATAGCTTAAGCAACTGCTTTGCCCATACAAGCAGTTAAATCTTTTATCTCTAAGACTTGAAAGTCTGGCTTGTTGTTTTTAGAGTTCCAGAATATAACACATATTACAAAGATTTTATGCTAACCTTGGGTCGATTCAACTGCCATTATGCCAAAGGTAAAATATTCTGAACAAATATTTGAATTTAAAATATTGTTTACATGAATATTGCCAATTTCTTTATTCTATCTAATGATAGATTATGCTGAAATTGTTAATGGTAGATCTTTTCCAGTTAAAAAGCCTAAAATTGAATATGTAACTTGTACAGTACTTCAAAATAACATTTGATTTATTTGTGATATTTGTGTAGCTAAGGTTATAAAGTGGGTTGTATATTCATATTTATTTTTTATAAGAGTCACTTTAATGCTTGCTTTTAAGCTTTAAGAATTTACAAGTAGTGGTTTTTGAGCTGCAGCACGTACTTTTGATATATGATAATATTGCTTGCATCTATAATGTGATAATGTTCCTATCAACTATTTAACTTTGTAACTTTTTTTTTATTCAAATGTTCTAATTGAGTTATTTTTTTTTGAAGTGTCTTATTTTTTTGATTTAATGAATCTAAATCCTGACCTACTTTATAAAGAGATGAATCTATAAAGCTTAGAGCTTTATTTTGTAAGAATAACAAAAGCAAATCACTCTCATTAGATCCTTTAGGGTATCACATTTTATCTAATAAGTAAATTGCAGATTTCAATTGATCATTAGGCAGTTGTTTAACCCTATCAATTAACTTTTGCTAAAGTGTTTTTTGATTTATTTTTTTGTTATTAGTTGGTTGAACGATACTTTGATAAACTAATTGTAGTTTATCATCATCTATTTCAATCAATGCTTCACTAATATCTTGAATTCTTTTTTCATACTAAGTAGCTTTTTGTATATTTACTGCAGCTTGACTTACTTTATGAGCTTTTAGTTTTTGTTTGGATACTGGTAGTATTTGTTTATTATGAATGTTTTTAAATAATGAATGTTCTCTGAGATTATTTAAATGATTGTACAAGTTTTTTATTATGAGTTCACCTCTAACCTTTACAATATTAATAATGACTTCTCTCCTTATCACCAGATACTATAGCACTATTTATTAATTATAACTGTTTTTATTCAAAAAATATTAGAAGCTAAAAGTTTGATTTTTTTTTTTTTTTTTTTTTTTTTTAGCAATCCTGTTTTTATTAATCAAAGAATACATATAATACTATACAAAGATTTTAAACTATTGCTCTTAACCCTCCTTTTTCTATAATAAAAACTTACTCAGCTGCCTTAAAGGTGCCTAAATACGATCTGCCGCAACAACATGTTCTCTCCCCCACAGAGTTCTAACTTCTTAGAACTGATCTGCGAGATCAACAAAAGCCTGTTATTGGCTTGTCAAGATTGCCAAATTTCTTTTTTCTTAAAACTTTTTCCACCTAGATCTGGCAGAAAAGTTAATTCCTTACTTTTACGCAAAAAAAAAAAACCAAGTGCCATATTTACAAAAGAAATAAAACAAATTTAGAAGAGAAAAAAGAAAACAAAAAGAAACCTAAATTGCTATTCAATTATTTCTGAAAAAAAATAAAAAAAGCATAAAAAAAAAGAGAAATGTGTCAACCAAGATAGCACTATTATAACCTGTGCCAAGGATTAAAAAATTATATACTAATGCAACATTTGTATATCTCTAGTATAAAGCTTCACCTTAACATATGTAAGTTTCTTTCTGATTATACGACTATTTTTGGATATTCCTTTAACCAAGGGTCTAGGCCTGCAGAGTAGCACCGTATCCATTAGTAAACAAAACACGTAGTTGCAATCTACCGGGTTGTCCAAATCTGGAAGAGGTAAACAATACTGATCTTTTGACAGGGGTAAGCTGTTTTGCTCACTTTTTTCAAAAATTTTGTTGAAAGCACAAGTGGGTGATAGTAAATAGTATCGACCTAGTACTTTTCTTTAAAAAAAGTATATATTTCTTCAAAAGTAGTAGAACAAGTAGGTCTGAGCATATTGCTGCTCTCCTTTTTGATAAATAATAAACTCTGAACTTGTTGGCAAGTAGCATATGAGAACTACTTCTAAACAACAAGTGCTATCTCCACAGTGAGTAATAAGCTCTAAACCTATTAGCAGATAGCGTATGAGAACTATCTCTAAATAATAGACACCGGTTTATGGTTTTTGTCAGTCTTATGTTCTTTTTATCAAACATATTTTACTGTTTTTTGTTGAAATTTTGGTTTTAAAAAGTTGGTCTGAGAGATCATTAGAAAGAGTTGTGTATTCTAAACTCTTTCTTTAATTTGCTTATTATTTTTAATTTAATACTATAAGTCTCTAAACTTAAATTTATATACATCTTATCTTTAAGTAAAAAAAATTATTATTTTAAATATTTTAGCTTCAGATTTATAATGCTATGCATTAGCCTAATTATAATATAGTTTAAACAATAAAATATTATTTTAATTTAATATATTAAAATACAAATATATATAATAGTTACTTTTTTCTAAATTAGTTTAAATAATAAAAAATTTATAGAATTAAATATAATTAGCAGACATATACTGCATTGTAGCATGTGTTTACTAATTATTTTGTTATTATTTAACAAATTTTAATATTATACTGTACTTTTTAGAATTTTAATAAATTTATCTTTTTTTTAAAGTATTATAAAGATTATTATTATATATTATAAATATAATATTTTTACAATTAATATAGTATTATATATACAAATTATTTATATTGTTTTTTTATAACTAAAGCTTTTTATTAGAACTCTTCCTAATGATCTTTTGGACCAACTTTTCAAAACAAAAAATTTTAATAAAAATAGTAAAACTATATTAGAAAAGAAGGACATAAAACTGACAAAAACTATAAACTAGTATCTATTATTTAGAGATAGTTCTTATATGCTATCTGCTAATAGGTTTGGAGCTTATCACTCACTATAAAGATAATACTTGTTATTTAGAAGTAGTTCTTATATACTACTTGCTAACAAGTTTAAAGTTTATTGCTTACCAAAAAGAATATTAGCAGTGTCATTGAATTTACTTGTCTTATTATTTTTGAAAAAATATATACTCTTTCTTAAAAAAAGTATAAAATCTATACTCTTTACTATTATCTACTTGTGTTTACAACAAAATTTTTGAAAAAAATAGACAAAATAGCTTATCTCTGTTAAAAGATTAGTATTGTTTACTCCTTTCAAATTTGGTTAATCCAGTAAATTGCAACTACATGTTTTGTTTAATAACAAACACATTGCTATTCTATGTAACAAGATCTCTTGACTAGTTCTCAATTAAAAGTTTATTCAGAATTGGATATATAGTTAAAAAGAAACCAATATGTTAAAGCAAAGTCTTACAGTAGAGATATACAGATGTTGTATTTGTTATATAATTTTTTAAATCTTGAACAAATTATAATAGTGCATTTTCTTTTATAATTTTTTTTTGTTATATTGTTTAGCTTTGTTTGGGCCTTACTTGTTTTTTTTTTATTTTTTTATTTTATAATTATTTTAGAGTTTTATATTTAGATTTTTGATTTCTCTCTTTATAGTTACTCTTTCTTTTAATTATTTCCCTTATTTTCCCTTTTTTGCAATATTGTTTTATTTATTTATTTTTTTTTTTTGGTTTATTGTATAGAGAAACAGGCTTGTCAAAGCCTTTCTGCCAAAATCTAAATGAAAAAAAATTAAGTTTTGGCTCTTAGATAAGGATAACAATATCTTTTGTTCTATGTATAATGCAGTATAACAGGTTGTATCTAGATACTTGAGAAGCAACTAGGTAATACTATGTGGAGTGAATTAAAAGTTTTGTTGTATTATATAGTTTTTTTTTTTATTTGTAAATTTATAAATTTAAAAATTATATATATGAATTATATAATAGTTATAATATATTTGTAAAAAAAAATTGAGTTAATTTTAATCAAATAGATATTAAGAAAATATTTTTTTAAGTTGCTAAATAAAAAACAATTAGAAATACTAATTTTTAAACCAAATTAATTTATAAAAATTAAAAATTTATATATAATAAAAAGATTTATTTTACAAAAATAATAATATATATATATTTAATTAAAATTTATATAAATAATTTTTTTTTGTAATTATTTGAAGTATATTTTTACATTTTGTATATCTTACTATATATAGTAATTTATTTACTATATTTAGAGAACCGTTAAAGCCAGGTTCGATCATGTAATCGATGACCTGACTATCCAGAGACTAGAGCTATCATATTATCAATAATAGCCAATCAAATTCAAGATTGATATTCTCACTAATGCGCTATATAAGGTAAATTGGCAAAACATAAACCACTTCCCACCAGAAAAAAAAAAAACTTAATACCTCTTTACAGTACTTTGTCAGAGAAAACTTTTTGCAAAAGAAAGCTTACAAACATCAAGAGATTTTTTTAAATATGACTGTAGTGCATAAAAACTTTTCAAAACTTATAATAATTTTTCGCGTATAAACTTTTACAAAAAAAAAAAAATAAAAAAAAAAGTAAAAAAAAAATTAAAAAAAAAATTAAAAAAAAAAATTAAAAAAAAAATCAAAAAAAAAATCATAACCATAGCAAGAACTTCCTTTAAAATAATAACAGATAACGATAATGAATATTTCGGGCAAAGAAAACACCTCTCAAAGAATAAGCGCAGTATTTCCACAACAAATTTTTGAATTAGTAGACTTGTCATAGCAAAGGTCCTCCACAAACATAATGATAATGGACTTGATAGCGGGTCTTACATGTGATCAAAAATGTATATTATTTTATAATATTCAACAACCATTCAAAGTCCCAATAACAGAATTCAATAATAAATAGTGGCCTTTAATTATGAACATTTGAGTAAAATTTAGTCATAAAACTCTTGTGAATAGAAATTCTTGAAAAACCTTTGTATGTTGCTTTGCCAAACACTTTGAATCAAGTATGCATAAAGAAGGCATTCCAAGTAAAAAATAATGAAAAACCAAGGTCCGAGAAGCAAACTTATATTATGCAAAAATAAAGGTATCATGGTTTGTTGTTGAGCAAAAAGTATATATTAAACAGTTCCCGGGTTTCTCAGACCATGTGCATGATTTAAATAAAAGTGACAAGCTTAAACGCTCTCAGACTATTAGAGTTTTAGTAGAAAAGAAGACAATAAAAAATTATCCTATACCTGCAATAGTAAATGCAGTTAAAGAGTATGCATCTGAGAAGCTGGATCTTGGCACAAGTATAAAGAAATTAAAGTGGAGAGAGGTCACAATATAAAGTACAAAGTTTGTGGACCATAAAACACTTATCTTATTGGCACTTCTAAGCTAGCACCAGATATCCAAGACACAATTTCTTTTTTAAAAAAAGAAGGTTATCAAGTTGAATCATATAAAACTTCTCATCAATTCATCTTCGGTTTTGTTTTTGCATATCCAAAACAACTTGAAAAGCTTCAGTGGTATGAATGGCTAACACTCATAGATTTAACCTACAGTATAAGACTAATAAATATGACTGGCATTTATTTATGCTATATATTCGAGATAGGTATGGCTGCTAGGATATTAGTATATATTTTTTCATTAGCAATGAAAATAGTGTTAATATTGCAGCAGTATTAGTTATTGTTAGATAATTTTGTAGCACCTAGAACCTTGTTATTTTTTGGCAAATCAAAGCAATATAGAGGCAAAAAGTATTATGATAGTCTTCCTGGGCCTTAGCAAAGGTAAACAAGAATGTAATATTATTTTTTGCACTGTACATATTATATGGACAGTGATGAATAAAATATATGAATCAGAAACTCGATCTAAAATGATTCAAGCTATGTATAAGCGAACAAAAATTGGTTGTGATATGTTTGTTTAAAAAGCAATTAATGAATGAACCCTTTCTTCTGTCAAAAAATACATCTCAAGATATTATTCAGAAAATACTTACCAGTGGGTCCTATGGGCCTACCAGCACTCTCTACTACTTTTACAAATAATATCAACAAATGCTCTAGAGTCATATCATAGCAAGTTAAAAAGAACAACCTCACCTCAATATGGGCTAATTGGCATATGCAATAAGATTGTTGTACTTGACCTGAAAAAATGTTCAAATTCTGATTATGTCATATTCGAGTTTTGTATTAAAAAAATTTTTGTCATTGGTGTTGATGACGATATTCTTAAAGAAATTCATAAGTTTCCTTTTCCCATTCAGAAATTAATAATCAACGAAGTTCTTGCTCTTAATGATAGGATGAGAAAGGTAAAGAATTGCCTGGTTTGTTGTCACCTGAATGTCATTGTCTTTTTTTTTGCAAATATATACTTCCTTGCAAGCATATTCTCCATGAGCAAATATATGGTCCCAGGAAATTGCTGATGGCTGAAGCTTAGAAACAATTTCAACAAATATTTAACAAAAGTGGATTTGAAATTTATAAACATCATGAGTTAGTAAGGATAGAATTTTTTGAAAAAAATGAAATTGATAAAGCAGCAGAAAGTAGAAAACTTATGGTAAATGAGTTAATGGAGAGAACATGTAATGAGTATTGGAATATTGAAGAAAGTGGTGGTAGAGTTCCTATCCATTATCCATTTATCCATTTATCTATTGGATATCCAGATCTAAATTTATTCGGATATCTATTTTACTATTGATATCTGGATAATTATCCGAATATTTGTCGGATTATCCGGATACCAATAGTAAATAGATATCCGGATAAATTCAGATATGGATAAATGGATGATGGATTTATCCGGATTGGACCTCTAAGTGGTGGTGAAAAAGAAAAGGCTGAATTTATTCAAAAGTTAAAGCTTTGTTTAGATTTAGTCTTAAAAAAATAAATAAAATGCTTTAAAGCATTCGATATAATCATTAATAAATTAAAGTAAATCTGACTTTGGTTTTTTAAATTAATAACTTATTGGCTAACCCGATAAGTTATTAAATTAAAAAACTGACTTCAGGTTTCTTTTAAAAGTATTCAAATATAATATTAAATATTAATATTAATCTGTTTATATTATAAAATCTATGTAGATATCTTTATGGTGACACCATTTCTTTAGAAAACATTAATACATTGTCATTTTGAACTTTTAATTAAAACTGGTCTTGAAAATTGGTTAAACATATCTAGTTATTTTACTTAAAAACAAATTTCTAGTTACATAATTTTTTTACACTAATTTTAAGAGTAATTATTTAGGAGGTTTACAACAATTTGCGCAAATATTATTGCAAACATCCAAATATTATTTTTGATTCAGATGAATTTCTTACTAAAACATGTCAATTTACAAGCAGATAAAGGAATAATTTGGAATTATGTTATTAAATAAGAAGCTGTTTAAAATCCTTCTTTATCTCCTGATTTTGATTATGGTTAATGAACAGTTTTTAGCTTTAAAAAAATTTACTTTCTTTAATTCACTGCTTTCAAATCTCTAGTGAAATTTTTTAATAAATTTGGCCTTATCTGAAAGAGCTCTTATTCATGCCTGTTTGGAATTAGTCATTAGTAAATTTATATTGTCAAAATTGTGTCTATTTGGTAAGTAAATTTTTGTTTCAGGTTGTTAACAATAAGGCCATCTAGGTACTGACAATCCAATTGGAGGTTGGCAGATTATGTGATCGAACCTGGCTTTAACAGATCCCCTCTAGTAGTTTTAGATTGCAGATAATTAGTTTAAACTTTTAGTTTAAGCTTTTAATCTGAGCTCTTATTTTTGCATATAATTTATATTTATCTGTTTCTGTACAAATTAAGTTTTTATATAGTTTCTATATACCTACTTATATAAATTAATCAATAAAGATATAAGCAAGACCTCACTTTAATACCAAAAAAAAAAAAAAAAAAAACTTAATAATTTGGTTTTTATAATATAAAATTTTTAAAAGTAACCTAGCAACTGGCTTTTAATTTTATTTTTAAAAAATTTTATATATAATAAACATATAAAATTTTTTATAGATTTTTTTAAAAAACTCACCCAGATAGTAAATATATATAAAATTTTTTTAAAAAATTTGTAAGGTTTGATCTAGTCAAGTTATAAAACCATTACAAATTGACAAAAATTTTTTAATCAATTAGTTGATAAATTATTTTATTCAACTTTTGATTTTATTCAAATAATAGATCAATTGACCAAATGATAGGTTTACTAATTTCTCCCACCAGTTCCTATTGGACGAGTACAAATCTCATTTCCGATTGAAAAAAAATATCCACATCACTGATCGAAGTTGTCAAAATGTAGCGGTAGTCATTTATGTGCCACATGATCATTATGCAAAAATTAAATTAATTTTCTTTTTATTATTCAATACTAACGTTTAGTAAACTTTCATGAATTTAGCAGCTTTTGCTAAAGTGATCGATTAAATAATTTCTCTTCGATTTTATTAATCTACTGCATTGTACTGTTCTGAAATTGTAAAAAAAGTTAAAAAAAAAATAAAATAAAAAAATTTAAATCAAAATAAATATTATTTTTATTTATTTTTTTTATTGAAAATGTCAACTTCGCTTAAAATTGATGATATTTTCGATATTGATGAAGATGTAGACATGGATATTAGCAATAATGAGCTTGACATTGATAATATGCTTAATTCCATTCTAGATGCGTCAGATAGCACTGGTCAAGCATGGGAGGTTGTGGATGATGATCCAGAAGAAACGCCAGGTGAAGAAAAAGTAAAAACATATCATTTTTCAGTAGACGAATATGCCAAATGGATTAAAGATCTCGAAAAGTCAGAACTCAGTTATTATCGACATGATCATCAGACGAAATTAGGTGCAAAAAGAAAAAGCAAGTAGTCTGAAAGATGGAATTGTCATCGTTATAGAGTATATGATAGTGTTGCTGGGAAAAGCTCAAATAAAAAGCCACGTTTGGTACAGAAAGATTCTAAAAAATGCGGGTGTACAAGTTATATTTTTGTTACCCTTCCCATCAACTCGTCGACAGTAACGTTGAAATATTACTATAAGCACCGTAATCATTATCCTGGCCAACTTTCAGACCTGTGTACACTCCCACTTTCTGAGAATATTCGGCAATTTGTTCTACAGCATGCTCTTGAGGGGCTTGATGTTTTTAGCATACATAAACTTATGTGATTTCGAGTAATAGAATTACAGGATTAGGTTTTTTATATTTATTATTTGTCTTCGATTTTTTTTTTATTTATTTTTTATTATATTATTTAATTTTCCGTTCTATTTTTTTTTTAATTTTTGGTTCTATTTTTTTAATTTATTTCTTTATTTAATTTTTAGTATTTAAGTTAATTTTTGGTTCTATTTTTTCGGTTCTTTTAATTTTTGTATTTAATTTAATTTTTTGTTTATATTTTTTTAATTTATTTCTTTTTTATATTATTTAATTTTTCGGTTCTATTTTTTTTTATTTAATTTATTTTATTTAATTTAATTTTTGGTTCTATTTTTTTAATACACAATATTTCGGTTCTTTTAATTTTATATATTTAATTTAATTCTTCGTCTCTATTTTTTTAATTTATTTCTTTTATATTATTTAATTTTTCGATTCTATTTTTTTTATTTAATTTATTGTATTTAATTTAATTGTTTATTTATTTTTTTTAATTTACTTTTTAGATTCTTTCACTTAATTCTGAAGGTCATTCGCATTCGCATGATGTGCAGGCATTATGAGACGGGTTGATAACACGCGATGATATTTATACAATCGTTTATGATACAATGAGAACATCTGCTTATTTCGATAAGAATGAAACATGCTCTTTGGAAATGTGGTATAATAGGATAATTAGTAAGAGTGGGGTATGTTTATTCAGAAAGTATGACAAGATAGACAATATTGGGTTTATGTTTATGTTCCAGACCAAAGAACAAAGAGAATTAATGAAATTCGCGAGAGTAGTGTGTTTAGATAGAACACATGGGACAAATCATCACGGATATCATTTGTTTATACTTGTTATTCGGTATCCAGTGGTAGGAAGTGGATATCTGGTCGCATTTTTAATAAGCGAATTTAAACGAATGTTGACGTTAAATGAGTGGTTTGCTTTTTTAAAGCATGAAAATGAAAGGTGAAGGCCAGATATTTTTATGGTCGATGATGCCGGCGAAGAAATCAAAGCATCTCAAGAAAACTTTCCTGATAGCTCTGTGTTTTTGTGTCATTTTCATGTACTATGGTCATGGTGTAGGAAACTATGCAAACGTGGCACAAATAATGATCCACAAAGAGAAGCTATTTGGGATAATCTTTGGCGATTACTAAAGACAGAGGGATGGACCAATACCGAAGCTTAAGCACAAATAGCAAGAGCAATTAATCAATGGAGAGAAATGAGTAGTGAATTAACAAATAATTTTGCAGATTACTTTGAGCGTTGGTGGAAGCCGAAGTATGAAATGTGGATGACTTGCTTAAGAGGGACCGCTAGAGATATGATGGATATGAATAATTTGATTGAATCGTTCTATCGTAAATTGAAACATACTTATATGAGAGGACGGCCAGGTATGAATTAAATTAATTAAAATCATTTGGCTGTTAATTGTTTAAATATTAAATAATTATTATTTGCAAATACTTTTTAAAGTGCATATTTATACAGTATTGTTTTTATTATTTATTTATTTTTATTTATTTTTATTTTTATACATATTTCTATTTATAAGGTAAAAGGGGGTATTATGACGCAGTACCAATTATGACGCACACGTGATATCCCATGATCTAGCGATTAAAATCGGATGATTTTACTACCATTCGATTCGCATCATCGAGACGAATCGAATGGTAGTAAAATCATCCGATTCTGATCGCTAGATCACGAGATATTAATATTTAAATAAAATAAATAAAATTTTTAATTTTAAATTTTAATAAAAACTAAGCGTAATACATTAATAGCAGCTTTTTTTATTAAGAAACTTGACCTTAATTATTAAGACAATTTTGTTCGCCATAATAAATTCTACCTACCTCTAAATTTTCATAAAATTTAGATAATTTTTTATTAATTGTTATTTGTAAAAAACGTATATGCGTCATAATAGATTCTTTTAGAATAAAAACGTATTTTATAAAAACCAATTAATAAAAAATTATCCAATTTTTATGAAATTTTACAAGTAAGTATAACTTTTTACGATGAATAAAATTGTCTTAATAATGAAAGTCGATTTACTTAATAAATAATTTGCAGACGATACATTAATGTTGTTTTTTTTTTAGTCTTTAAATTTAATCTTTAATTGCTTGTAACTTATGATGTAGTAATCAGAATTGAATGATTCTGGTACCATTCAACTCGTCTCATTGAGACGAATCGAATGGTACCAAAATTGTTCAATTTTAATTGCTAGATCACGAGATATCATGTGTGCGTCATAATTGGTCCATTTATAATAGTTTATTAATTTTTTAGCTTTTAATTTAATTTGCAATATCGCGTGATCTAGTATAGTCAGAATCGAACGTTTTTGGTACCATTCGATTCGTCTCAATGCGGTGAATCGAATGATACCAAAATTGCTCGATTCTGATCACTAGATCACGTGATATTGGCCGTAGAAGTTACCTGCGTCATAATACCCCCCTTTACCTTATATTTATTTTTATTTTATATATTCATTTTTTTAATTTATTGTTATTAATTATTTTTAATTTTATTTTTTTTTAATTTATTATAACACATGGTTTAAGTCTATTTATCATTTATTATGTAGTAAGGTTAATTTGTTGAAAAAATGGCATACTAATTTCAGCCTCTATTCTTAAGGTCGATGACTTGACGGCGAAGTGCATCTTCTTGTAGAAGTTGTGCTTCGTGATATGAATTTTTCTGTCTTTCAGAATGAATTAAAAATCAGGAGGATGAATTCGTGACGGCGTCAGCAACGAATTCATGAACTTGCAGGGACTACGCACATTGATAATAATAATATTTTCAATATCCAGCCTAATCACTGGATAATACGTTCTTTAACGAATGATGATATAGAATATTCGGTCAGAAAAAAAGATCTTACAATCAATGAAAATAGTCCTGATGCTGCCCCTTATATTTGTAATTGTTGTGATTTTCAATCACAACAATTACCATGCAAGCATGTTTTTGCCGTTTTAGCACAAAATCATACATATGATGAAAATGTGCATGATGAGGATACAGGAGATGATCATCTACCTGTAAAATCAGATTTTTCTAATTCCCACGTTTCTTATAATCTTCCCGCAGGTCAAAAAAACGACAAAGACCTCCAGCTCACAAAATTGCAAGAAGAGTTTACTGCAATTACTAAAGAATGGAAAAATATGAAAGGAGAAGATATTTACAATTTACGAATGGCTCTCCGACATGTTACTCAAATGAAACGAGAAAGAATTGCAAGGATAGAATCTGTTCCCAGGGCTACCAATAATAATGAGACAAGAATTCATCAAGTAGCACCAAATGTAAAAATTACAAGACAAAACAGGAATTAATTTAATTAATTAATTATTTATTTATTGTATTTATTTTTCTCAACACATATTTAAACAAAATTTATGTGAAATTAAAGTTTTTCTTCAAGCAAAACATTCAAATTTGTTTATTCGATTTGACAATCTTGCAAAATGTAATAAATTA